CTCACTTCAAATGAGATTAGGGACATGCATAAAATGTAGGAAACAGCAAAATTTTGCAGAAAATCAGTACATCAATAAGGCTATACCAGGCCAGGGGATTTAGCTCAGTGGTTCCATCGCCTGCCTCACAAGTGCAAGGTCCCAAGTTCAGTCCCCAGTACCAAACAAAAAAATAAGGCTATACCAGTTCAAGTCTAAAGGCATGCAATCTCACATTTCTATAAAATCCTCAAAAGAAGGCAAAAGCAAGTGTCATTGGATAGGTTCCCTGTTAATGTTAAATGAAAAGAAAAACATTCCTTTGAGCCAATAGACAGCAGTGATTCCTTAGTGATAGTGAAAGTCATTCTATACAATAATCCTCTTCTCTTTGGTCTTCCGCACTCCAGCCATGATAGTCTTCAAAGGTAATTGCCTGTTAATTTGTTAACTCCTCATTATATTTTGTATTTTCCTTATCATTTTGTATTGTATTACATCATTGTAATCATTTTAATATGAATATTTTTGGACTGTGGAATGAATAATCTGAATTTCCATTATTTATTACAGGGAAATTTGCTTGATATACAAGTACTTTAGATTGCAAGCATGTTTCCAGAATGAATTGCAAACCAATTTTTTATCATATTTTTCTTCGTTTTGCTTTTTCCCCTCCCTACTATTTCTTATTCTCTTATCTTCCCTCTTTCCTTTCACCTGTTATGTGGCATATATTTAGGAGATGCCTGTGTATGTGGAAAAGAGAATAGGAATGAACTAGTCCTTTAACTTAAAGTAGTTTTCATGGGCATGCCAGGGTAACCCTCACCAAAATTGCACATTGAAGATCTAAACAAAACTAATGACAATTTATAAGAGATTCCAGCAATCTCATTAATTTCTTCAGTCTCTAATTACACTTCCTGTTTCATCCTTCCTCCAACTACCACAAATATTCTGTGAAACCAGTTTCATGCTACCCTTGACTCAAGCTATAAAAATAATTCCAACTGGGCTGGGGATTCAGCTCAGTGGTGTCACAGCCTGCCTCACAAGCACAAGGTTCTTAGTTCTATCCCAGATACCAAAAAAAACGTAAAAATAATTCCAACAGAGTCTGATCATCTGCCTATTTTTCTTCTATTGACATTTCCCTTCTCTCTCTCTCTTCCTACTGTGGTCCCCTGTTCCAATAACTTTTCTTTTTCATTCTCCTATCACTCCAAATGCTAGGCTAACTGCTAGTAGAAGTATAGTACAGTCTGTAGGGAACAAAGATAAAAATGTGAAATTGGAAAAAAATATTCAATGTTGATAATTAATGTATGCTTGGATCTATTGATACTACTATAGCCAGTAGGAATTCTCTCTTCATAACATAGTGACCATGTCCAATCCTACTGAACTAAATAGGTCAAAGTGGAAGGCAATACCTCTTGGCAATTAAATACAAGATCATATTACTAGAAAGAAGAATCTAATTAAAGATATCTCCATAAAAATGAACTTTTCATTCTATTAGACCTCAATCTTAAGCACAACTGAAAAAACAAAGAAACACACCTGCCTGGAAAGTGCAAGGTCTTGAGTTCAATGCCTAGTACTGCCAAAAAAAAAAAAAGTGTGTCTACCATTTGGGCTGGGGATTTAGCACAGTGTTGCCACCACCTGCCTCACAAGCACAAGGTCCCGAGTTTGATCTCCAATACAAAAAACAAAAACAAAAACACAAAGAAAACAAGGCAACAGAAATGCCTGTAAAACTCCCAACTCCCTCAATGCAGATCCAAGGGACATCAATAAAGAGAAAATCAAACACAAAACAGCTGAAATGTAGAAGAAAATCAAACTGGAAACAAATGAAATCAGTGAGTTCAAAGATGATACAACCAAACACATT